TGCCGGGGTAAGGGGGGCGCGTGCCGGGGTAAGGGGGTGTGTGTCGGGGTAAGGGCACGTGCTGGGGTAAAGGGGGCACGTGCCCCGGGGTAAGGGGGCGCATGCCGGGGTTAGGGGGCCGCATGCCGGGGTAAGGGAGGCGCGTCCTGGGGTAAGGGGGCACCCTCTTCCCATCTCCCCCACTGTGGGGCAGAAGGGACATGGCTTTGTTTTTAAAATCTACCCACATATGACAGACAGTCTTTGAGAAAGAAATTGGAGTGATTTCATGAAGTGTCAGTACACACTTAAGTGTCCTATTGTAATGTTCACAGCTAAGAGCATAACTGCAGACCAGTTACAATTTCACACATAGATACAGGCACCCACATATTGTGTGCTGTAGAGTCCGAACCAACCCATAGTTGACCCTCCAGCCGGTTTTCAGAGGTAGTCAATTTTGCAGATTGCCCTTCCTCCTCCCACAGAGCAACTGGGAGCTTCGAAGCACATCCCTTTGGGATTGCAGCACAGCTTCTTGGCACTAGGCCACCAGATATCTATATAAGGGCTGTTTTTAATTGTTTTTGGTCAAATGTTCTTCTTGGTCATATAACCCTGGTCTGTCCACTTGCTGTACAGAGGTAACTCGTGGTTGCTGTGAAGCTGAACACTGTGACACTGATGTGTCAAATGTGGTAACAGTTACCCAGGGTGGACAGTGTTTGATGTAGCTCCCTGATTAAAACAAGCTTGGAAGCAGGAGTGGCATCCACTTCAGAAATAGCTTCCTCTGGAAACCCTGTGAACCCGGAGAAAGGATAAAAGTCACGCAAGTGTCAAGGACTTTCATTCATAGAGTCACTATCACCTATGTCTCAACAGCACTTCAACAGCAATTATTCTTTGTTTCTTTGAAGAAAATGGACTCCCTGCTTTTCCACTCCAGTCTGGAATTTGACACGCTCTTTTTGGTCTCGTTCTTATGCTGAGTCTAAGATTGGTGTATACATCACTGGTTAATTAGCATGCCTAAGCCTTTAACATACATGGAAAAACCTTCCTTAGAGTTTCAGCTCACAAATTGCGCCAATTAGCGCGAGATTATCAAGTGCCCATTTATAGCGGAGCCCTTTGAACATAAATAGAGCTGGAAAGGTAGTTCTGTTGTGTTTTCCGTTGCTTTTGAAATGCAGCATATTGAAAATATTCACATGCAAACAAACGAGGCCGCTCAACCACTGAAAGCAAGAGAAATTGGAGGAAAATGGGACATTAGTATATGGATGCTGGTTGACCTTGAACTTTATGCCTCCAGAGTTTTTCATGATAAAAATAAAGTCATGGATACCCTCAAGGGATGACCTCTGACAGGGTGCTGCTTATAGAAACAAGGGGGGTGAAACTGTCTCACTGACTACAGTGAGATTGTCAGGATGGTCCAGTTCCTGGGGCAAAGGAGGAGATTCAGAGAAAGAGAGGGAAACTCAGAATAAGATGGATTGGCAAAGTGACAGTAATAGTGGGCTTGAGCCTATGAGGGATGGTGAGGACGGGATAGAGTGCAGATCTGCTGCTCACCGGGTCATTATGGGTCATGGTCAACTCCACAGCACCTAATGACTAAGACAACCTTCTACGGCATCTTATCTCTTATTAATGCCGCCTTGTTTCTTCCCTAGGTGTATCCTTCCACCCGGCCGGTTACCAAATTCCGATCCCCCTTCGAGGAGCAGTTAGAACAGCAGAGATTGGCCAGGAGGCGAGCAGAAGAGGCCCAGCAGCTGAGGGAACACCAGGAAGCTTTGCACCAGCAGAGGCTGCAGGGCCATCTGCTGTGGCAGCGGCAGCAGCAGCTTCGGGAGCGGGAGCTGGCCCTCCAGAGGCAGGCGCAGCGGCAGGAGGGCCCGCAGGAGCGGCCCCGGTAGGTCCCCCTTCCTTCCCCTCCTGAGGAGCCCACACAGCCCTCGGCTGGTTTTCATAAGCAGGTTCACAGTGACCCTCTGTCTGTGTGTGTCCCATGACCTTGAGGGGCTCAGATCTCAAGGAGCCCACATAGTATTTCTTGAGGATTAAATGCCAAATGTTGTTGTTAAGTGTCATCAAGTCGTAGACCACTCATAGCGACCCTGTGAACGAAAGACTTAAGCACTGTTCATAGAGTTTCCGGAGGCAAGTCATTTCAGAAGTGGATGCCCACCCGCTTCCAAGCTTGTTTTAATCGGGACGCTCCACCAAACACTGTCAATCATGGGTGACCATTATCACATTTGACACATCACTGTCACAGTGTTCAGCATCACAGCAACCACGAGTTACCTCTGTACAGCAATGCACAGACCAGTGCTATACCACTTAGAAGAATGTTTGAAAAAAACAACTTAAACCAGGCCTGAGGGCTGCAGATTAAAAATGCCAAGTGGTCATTTTTAATTTTTTTTTTTTCTGCTGAGAAGTTGGAATTTAGGTTTCAGAGCAGCCTGACGGGTGTAGTGCTAACTTTTTGTTTGAAAAAGAATTTTAAAATTTTGGAAAGACAGGTGGAATCTTTATAATGCATGACTATATAAGTTAATAATTTTTGACTCCTTTTTGAAAATGTGCTAAAAAATGTTGCTCATTACGACTTTCAAGAAAAATAACCTATGCCACTTAATTGATGTGAGTCAGTTTCTGATGTTTGCATCCTTTGCAGGCAACAAGCTCACTATGATGTTGTGGATAATGATACTGTTGAGGGAGCAGAAGATCAGGGCCCCCAAGAAGAGGAAGGAGGTGGTGAGTTGTTTTTGATGAGGAGTATTTAATAAATTCACTTGGTAAGATTATATAGGATCAGTAACACTGTATGCCTCTCTGATTAAGTGTGTCTTTACTTGTTGTCTGTTCTTCTTAATGAAATAATGAAAAACCTCACAACTGATTCCTTTAGAGTTGAAACTGGATTGTAGCTGACCCTGCTTTGGGTTTCTAACCCCTTAAATCACACAGGAGGAGATGGTCCATCTTTCTCCCATGAAGCCACTGATGGATTTGAACTGTCAGAGGGGTGTATCCTGTGGGCTAGTAAAGCCACTTCCTGGGGGCTAGTAAAGCCACTTCCTTCAGAGGATACCACCAGGGCTTCTTCCCCAAACAGTAGTGACAATGTTATGTAGCACAAGGTCATAACCAAAACATAACTGACCTTCTAGTGGGTTTTCAGAAACCATAAATTGCAAAGGAGGAGATTCCCAATCTTCCTTGTAGCAGCTGTTACATTAGAACTGTTTGATTTGGTGGTTCAACACCTAACCATGGTTTAAGTGCTTGGTAAACTTAGGTTTTTGTGACAAAGTGTTATAGGACTTTCATTATTTAGGAAACCTCTGTTTTTTCCCCCCTACCTTGAGAAGTCTAAATAACGTAAAGATCATTATCTTAAAATGTTTGAACGGATGTCAAAAGTAATACTCGGTTATGGTGAGCATCATGTATGTAGTTTATCAGTTACTGCTTCTTGTAGTCTTAGAATTAAAAAGTGACTGTCTCTGAAACACTAACATACATCTATGCATCCTTTCTGAAGAGTCTAATTACTCACACTTCCTAAGTAGCCTGTTGTGATTCTTTAAAACTCTTTATATGTTGTGATTTTGATGCTTAGAATGTATCAAAAGAAAATAGAGGGAATAGGCAGTATTACTGTACCAAAAAAGAATTGGACAGCACTGAACTATTTCAGGAAGTACCATCAGAGCAGCAGATAATGGGAGTGAAGCTGAACTGAAGGCAAGAAGTCCATTTGACATGTTTTACCTAACAGAATGCAGCCCTGGACACACCTACCAGTCTACGCTGGAAAAGATGGAGGACAGCTACCTGGCCCACTGATTGGAAGAAATCCATGTTTGTTCCAATTCCCAAGAAAGGTGATCAAAAGAATGTGGAAAATACTGAACTATATCATTAATATCACATGCAAGCAAAATACTGCTGCAGATCATTAAAGAATGGTTAGAACAGTACATAGAGAACTGACAGAAGTTCAAGCAGGATTTAGAAGAGGCTGTGGAACCAGAAATATCCTTGCTGATGTCAGCGCAATCATGGCTGAATGCAAAGAATACTTATGGTCTGTTGACTACGCAAATACATTTGACTGTGCGGATCATAACAAACTGTGGCTGACTCTGAGAAGAATGGGAATCCGAGAACATTTAATTGTGTTCATGTGAAATGTGTACCTAGAACAAGAGATTTTTGTGAACAGGACAAGGGAACAATACCTGGTTTAAAATTAAGAAAGGTGTGCATCAAGGTTGTTTACTTTCTCCTTAATAGTATATATGCTGAGCAAAATATTAAAAAAAAACAAACTGGACTCTGAAGAAGAATGTGGCATCAGGATTGGAGAAGAGTCATCAATAGCCTCTATTATGGAGATGACACAACCTTTCTTGCTGAAAATGAGAAGGACTTAAAGCATTTGCTGCAGAAGATTAAACACTGCTGTCTTCAAAATGGATTGCATCTCAATGTCAAGAAAACAAGAGTATCTCATCACTGGACATATAGATAAGCAACATCATGATAGATGGGAGAAAAGATTGAAACTGTCAACTTCATCTTTCTTGAATCCACACCAGAGTCGGTCCCCTTGATACCAGCAGTCAGGAGATGTATTGCACTGGGAAAGTCTATCATCAAGGATCTCTCCACATTATTGAGGAGTAGTGATGTCAGTTTGAGGACCAAAGTGGACCAGGTGCAGGCCATAGTATTTTCAGTCACTTGCTATGCATCTGAGAGCTGGACAGGGAATAAAGATGACAGTAATTGATGCCTTTGAGCTACGACATTGCAGTAGAGTGCTGCATATCCTATGGACTGCCCAAAGAACGAAGATGTGTCTTGGAGAAGGAGTAACCAGAATGAGCCTTAGAGGCAAAGGTGATAAAGCTTCACCTCACATTGTTTGAGCATGTTGCTAGGAGAGGCCATTCCTTGGAGAGGGATATCATACTTAGAAAGGACAGCAGAGGAGAGGAAGACCCTCTACCGGGAGAATTAGCAGTGTAACTGCAGCGATAGGCTTGGAAATGTCAGAGATTGTGAAGCTCGCCCAGGCTAGGACAAACTATGACTTAGGGTCACACTTGACAGCATCTAACAACAACAAACAACACAGCCACACAAGGTGCTCTCCTGGCACAGCGGTGAAGAGCTTGGCTGTTGACCAGAAAGTCAAGGATTCGCACCCAGTAGCTGCTCTGCGGAAGAGAGGCAGCCTGCGTTCTTCGTCTGTAAAGATTTATAGACCTGGAACCCCCATGGGCAGAGCGGTGCTCCTCTGTCCTTCAGGTCCACTGGGAGTCAGAATAGACTTTTGACAGTTGGTTCAGGTTTTGGGTTTATTTTGGTTATTTATAGTTAAGAAATTACTTTCCTTATTTCTCCTATATAGCATTTTAAGCTCTTTTTTAAAATATTTTTATTATTTTTGTGTGTGTGTATCGTCAAATCAGATCTGACTGGTACAGGAGGAGGTTGTCCCTCCTTCTCCAGCAGAGCATCTGGTGGATTCAAACCATGCATCTCTGGGATTGCAGTGCAGCTTCTTGCCACTAGGCCACCAGAACTCCCTGCATTTTAAGCTCTTTTGTTCCATTATCAGCAAGACTACAGAGTGATTTGTTCCTTCCTTTTGTTTTTTTAATTTTATTTCTTTTTTAAATTTTTTACTGGTTTACATACAAAGTTCATAAAGTTCATATATATTGTTTTTCACACCAGACCTTTCCCCATCCCTCCCTCCACCCATCAAATTGTGCAACCCTGTATTTAAGCCCCACCTCCCCTCAACGGGTCTTCGTACTCATTCTACATTAATGGTCCTGTATAATACTTGTTTTTATGAGACTGAGTTCGTTCACTCAACATAATACTCTCCAGTCCGTCCCATGTTAGGTAATAATTTACAAAGTTATTGCTCCTGCGTGCTGCATAGCATTCCATTGTGTGAATGCACCATAATTTCTCAATCCATTCCATTGTGGTTGGACATCGGGGCTGTTTCCATGTTCTTGCGATGGTGAATAACGCTGCTATGAACATTGGTGTACAAGTCTCCATTTGTGCCTCAGCTCTCATTTTCTCAGGGTGTATTCCAAGCAGTGGAGTAGCTGGTTCTCCTTCCTCTCTTTAATAAATCCCTCTCTGTACACTTGAATCCTGAAGGCAGGTTACTCTGCATACTCATTTTGTAATTTAAGTGCTTTAGACATATTTAAACTTTCATCTTAGGTCTCACCTATTTTTAAAATATTTGTTCTTTCTGTATATTATTAAAATTATCTTGACCTAAGCTTCCTTTTTGCTCCCCCACAACCAGTATGTCTGCATGAGTATAAATGGGTTCATCTCTGTCTCGGCTGGCATCATCATTTCCTCATCAGAGGGTGCAGGACGGGGCTGTACTCGTTACGCTCTACACAGGGCTTGCTCTCTCTTTCCTTTGCATTTCCTGAGACATAATCACATTCTTCTTTTGATACTTGGCCATTTCTTATGTTACCAAAAGGCAGTTGGTAATTTCAGTAGTGTGCAGCTGAGTGAGTTTTATCTAGAAGAGCTCTTGTTGTTGTTGTTGTTGTTGTTGTTTGGTGCCATCAGGTCGTAGACGACTCATAGCGATCCTATGAACAAACGACCTGAGCACTGTTTGTACATAGAGTTTCTGGAGGCAAGCCATTTCGGAAGTGGATGCTGCTCCTGCTTCCAGGCTTGTTTTAGTTGGGAAGCTCCAGCCAACACTGTCCACCATGGGTACCCATTACCACGATTGGCACATCACTGTCACAGTCTTCAGCATCTCAGCAACCACGAGTTACCTCTGTACAGCAACGCACAGACCAGTGCTGTACCACCTAGAAGAATGTTTGACAGGAAGACAATTTGAACCTGGCCGAGGGCCGCAGATGAAAATCACCCACCTTCGGCTTGGTAGCAAGGAGCATGGTGGTGTGAGCGCAGGAATCGTGGCAAGCTTTTGGAGTCGAGTGCTTTTCTGGGCATGTGTTTGTTTGTTAGAAGAGCTCTTACTTTTGCAAGATAGTTTCCCCTCCCCAAAAGAAAGCAATGCCTGTTAGATTGACTTTGTTTTGGAGGGTTAAAGTGGTCCCTTTAGATGCAAAGTCTAGAACTTTATTCAGTAGAGCTGAGATCTACTGTCCCAGGTTGAGCTGATTGGAAGGAGGAGAGAGCACTGTGGGGTTTGGGAGTGGAAGGAAGATTACTGTTGGGCTCATTTTGAGCGGATTTCTGTTTCCTTGCTTCATTAGCCTATGAAAGAGACAGCCAGCACCAAGATGAAGCTGAAGATACCAGACATGAACCTCAGGAACAGAGGCGCCGAGAAGCCAACCCAGAGTCTGATGCAGATGTAAGTGTCTTCTCTTTTGGCCTTAACAGGTGATAATTTACAGGGTGGACAAGAACCGTGCACGTTGACCACCATGAGTCTGCCTCTGGATGCGTCTGCCTCACCAGTACAGAAGGAAGGCGTACGACGTGAACAATGTTCTTGACCGTACACCATGATCTGTGTGTAAATAATAGCAGTGAGTTAAAGGTTACTCTGGGAAAAGTCCTGTGAGGGTTTAAGGTTAATAAAAGTAAAATGAAGAAAAACAAAATTGAGAGGAGATGAAATAGGCATAGCACTGAAGAGTACAGAAAAAAGCAAGTGTCGGAGTTGGAAAGGGACTCAGAAAGGAAATGCACCCTTCTTGAGTGTGGCCAGCTTGATATCTAGGGCTTTCTATGTGTCATGTGACTTTCTCTAAAATTCCCAGCATTCCAATAGCTCATTTTAATAAATACAAGGATAAAGGATTATGGCTTGAGAAACAAAACGTATTGCCGAAATATCATATTGTTGTTATTGTTATGAGGTGTCGAGTATCTTGTGACTCATAGCAACCCTATGTACAAAAGCTCTGAACTCTGCTCTGTCCTGTGCCAATCTTATTGTCTCTAACACACGAATCGTGCTAATCCAGTTGCTGAATCAGTCCATCTCATCGAGGATCTTCCTCTCTTGTGCTGTCCCTCCAAGCATGATGTCCCTCTTCAAGGACTGGTCCCTCTTTGCAACATGCTCAAAGTATGTCAGAGGAAGCTTGAGAATCCTTGCTTCCAAGGAGCAGCCTGGCTTCATCTTCTCTCAAACAAACCTGTTTGTTCTCTTAGCAGTCCATGGAATATTCAATATTTCTCCAGCACCACAGCTCAAAGTCATCCATTCTCCTTCTATCATCCCTAGTCATTGTCCAGCTTTCTGAAATATGGCAAGTAATTGCAAAAACTATGGCCTGGATCATGTGCACTTTAGTCTCCAGACTGACATCATTACCACTGCTTGTCAGTTGCCATTGCTTTTCAGTACTCTGGAGAGGTCTCTGACAGCAGACTTTTCAAGTGCAATTCGTCTTTTGTTTTCCTGGCCACTAGTACTAAGAATGTTGATTATGAAGCCAGTCAAACTAAAGCTGTTAACAAATCTCAATCTCTTCACCATCTATCATGATGCTACCAATTGGCCCAGTAGTGAGAATCTTTGTTTTCTTGGTATTGAACTTCAGTCCGTATTGAAGACTTCAGGTCCTCCTCAGTTTCATCAAGTAGGGTTATGTCATCTGCATAACATAGATTGTTGGGTTTTTTTTTTTAATTTTTTTCTTTTTTTTATTATTATTTTGTGTATATGTGTCTGTGTACCATCAGATCAGATCTGACTGGTACAGGAGGAGATTGTCCCTCCTTTCCCGGCAGAGCATCTGGTGGATTCGAACCATGCGTCTCTGGGATTGCAGTGCAGCTTCTTGCCACTAGGCCACCAGAGCTCCCCAATAACATAGATTGTTGGTGAGTCTTCCTCCAATCCTGATGTCACATTTCTCTGATTAACAGATCTGTTCTGCACATAGATTGAAAAGATACGGAGATAGGACATATTCCTGGTGTCCAACCTTTCCGATTTTGATTTTTTTTTTTTTCAAGAAAATATTATTAATAGGGTGGATGGGTGGAACCGATCTTGATTTTAAATACCATGATGCTGTAGAAAAATTAGAATGTACATGTATAAAGCCCTAATAATCAGGAACACACACACACACACACTCACGAGATACATTTAGGTGAGCTATCCAAGGACTAGACGACAAGCAAATGCTGAAAGAGTAGGTCTTCTAGATTTATGCATAGATGGCTTTTTTTCCCCTGACTCCCTTTCACTCTCATGTTATTTTTTTTACTGAGAAATAAAACAATGACATTTTGAAAATCCGATCTATGCTGTTATTATATGCCTTATGTATTTAGATCCAGACCCAACTAGTTGGATGCCTCACAGTTCTTTCCAACTCCTGTTGACCTCATTGACAGAGTAGAACTGCCTCGGTGGGTTTTCTAGTCTTTAACCTTTATGGGAGTGCATCATCAGAACTGTCTTCCCTGGAACCACTGAGGGGATGTGAACCACTGACCTTTCAGTAAGCAGCCCAGTGCTTAACCGGTGGACTCATGCATAGACTTCCCTTGCTGGTTGTTGAGAAAAGCTTCCTGTTAGCTGCTGAACCCACCTTGAGACAAACAGCTTTGCCACTGTGATATAACAAAACAAGGAATGCCAGTCCTAGGATACTTTTAGGAAAGAACACGAGTGAGAGAACAGGCGTGAGAGGAGATGCATGAGAAGGGCTAAGGCAGAGGCACAGTGGAAGGTGAATGAACCAGTTACTGAAGAATTGGAAATACTCCGAGCAGCTGTATTAACCTGCTTCCGTTACTCCTCCAGAGACCAGTTATTGTCAGTGTGTGACCCAAAATAAAACTTGGCCCCTTTTCTGTCATGCCTTTTTTTAAATTAGAAATTGTTAGCCCTGCCTATCCCTCCCTTAACAGATTTTTTTCTTTATTAACCGTGACTATCAAACATTACTTATTACTTGATTAGAGTTGTTGTTATGTGCTGTCCTGTCTCCTGCGACTCATAGTGACCCTACGTACAACAGCCTTAAACCCTGCTTTATCGTGCACCAATCTTATTGTCTCAAACACACCTATACCTATTACCCCAGTCACTGAATCAAATCTATCTCATAGAGGGTCTTCCTCTCCTGCGCCGTCCCTCTCCAAGGACTGGTCCCTCCTTATATCATGTCCAAAGTATGTCAGACGAAGCCCCAGAATCCTTGCTTCCAAGGAGCAACCTGGCTTCACGCTCTCCAGGATAAACATGTTTGTTCTCCTAGCAGTTATCAATTTTTATGAATGTCTGTGAAAAATGTGAGCCTTTTGCAAAAGATGTTTGATACTTTTCTCCCCTAAAGAAATTAATTTTTCTTATGCTGCCACAAAGCTTTGTTTTGATAAGACACAAAAAAGAAATTCATGTAACAAGAGATTATGGAGCAATTGGAGCTTAGTGTGAAGCTGAGGAATTGTCACTCCCCACATCACCACGGACGTGCCATCGGCACTTGAGTCAAGTACAGGGACAAGGACATGTGGATCATACGTCAGCTGAGATTCCAGCAGGCTCTTGAACAGGTTTAAAGCTCTTTAATGAACTGAAGAAGAATTTTGTTGTCCAGAGGACACTCACAGAGACTGAATTGTACCCTCTGGCTTTTCATTCTCCTGGAAGCATTTGATGCCTCAGCAGGTGCCCTGTTGATGACACTGGAGAGATTAGGGAGCTCACACACGCATCAGTGTTTTCACCCATCTCAGTCTTTCAACTTCTCAATCTTTATGAGGAAAGTGTATTATCGTGAAAGGTGCTATAAGATCTTAAGTGGGAGATAAGAATAATTCTAAAGTTGGAAGTATGAAGGCCATTTACTGAATGCACCCACTGAGGACTACTTGGGAGGAGTGGTAGGTGGAGGTATTTCTCAGAGTCTGTCCACAAAGATTGGATGCGTTCAGTCATTTGTCCTCCTGTCTCTGACCAGTACTGCGTCATAGACTTTTGAGTTAGTCTTGCTCTCATCTGGTCTCCTTTCAGAACTTCTTGGACCCTCCTGGTATGTGTCTCCTTTCAACTACTTGTCACCCGCCCCCCACCAAACAGAACAAAAGCCCAGCTGCTGTCAAGTCGACACTGCCTCCTGGCGAACCCTTCTGTGTGAGAAGAGATTAGAACTCTGCTTCAAAGTATTGTCAGTGGCTGATTTTTTTTGTTAAATAGGTTTTTTTCTTCTGAGGCACATCTGGGTAGAATGGAACTTCCAGTCTTTTTCTTTAGCATCCAAGTATAGTAACTGTTTGGATCACCCCCACGGGCTCCACTTTTCACCTCAAAACTCAAAATTCCATTTTGCTACCATGAAGTTGATTTTTGTAAGGTCATAGAACTCTATATTGAATTTCCAAGGCGCTATAATATATATATATATAATTTAAATTTAATTCTCCTTCTTTCACGCAACATGGACTTAGCAAATGCAGTAACTGTAGTTGTTTTGGTGCTGATATTATTGTAAAATAAACAATCAAAACAGTTATTTCTTCCTACTAGTTAATAACCCATGATTGAATTAATATACCTGTTTAGTGGACTCAATGGCCATGATGTTCATTTTGCATTGCTAGATATTTGGTAGGAAAAACATCTTTTGTTTCTGAGATAGAAATGTTTGGGGGAAAGTGTTTCTTCCTTGCACTCCTTTTCTATTTCATTTTTTAAAGTCTTTCTCTCCTCTTTTTCCTTCCTTTCCCCTCTTTCTTCCTCTGCCATGTCTCCTTTTTCTTTCACTCTGTCTCCTTCCATCCTTCTTTCTTTTTTCCCTTGATTTTCCTGCAGTTACTCCTATAAATTGTATTTCGTTCACACACATTGTGTTTTATCCAATCATGTTTCCGGTCATTATTACTGATTGTTGCCTTACCAAGTACAGCTTGCTCGGCTCCACAGTCAACACCCTTAACACCAGCAGGCAGGAAATCAAAAGATGAATTGCATTGGGAAAATCTACTGTCACAGACCTCTCCCGAGTGCTGAAGGGCAACAGCGTCTATCTAGGTACAAAGGTGTGCCTAATCCAGGCCATGATCTTCTCAATTACTTGTTATGCTTCAGAGAGTTAGACAGTCACTAAGGATGACAGAAGAACAGATGCCTCTGAGTTGTGGTGCTGAAGAAGAGTCTTGAACATACCGTGGACTGGCAAGAAAAGCAGTCTGTCTTGGAGAGGATGAAACCATGTCTCTGTGGAGGCTAGGATTTTGAAGCTCTCACATACTTTGGACACGTGGCCAGGAGAAATCGGTCCTTGGAGAAGGACATCGTGCTCAGAAGGGTAGATTGACAGTGCAGGAGACAGAGACCTCAGGATGAGATGGATTGATACAGTGACTGGGGCAGTGGGGGTTTTGTTGTGTCTGAGTTAGTGAGACTGGCTCAGGACGGGGAAGGGTTCAAAGCTGCTGTACACAGGGTCACTGTACTTCGCAGGTGACTCAATGGCTCATAACAACAATAACACACTATGACAGGTTTGGAAGCAGGAGTGGCATTCACTTCCTAAACAACATGCCTCCAGAAACTCTATGAACTTTGATAAATGTCCAAAGTTGTACAGGGGTTTCAGACCTTTTGTTCGTAGGGTTGCTGTGAGTCGTGCTCCACTCACAGGCAATCAACAACAACATTATCAAATCCCGTCTCCACCTTGCCTGTTCCTTCATCAACACCCTATCTGTCCACTGATCTCTGATGTCCTAGTGCCTTTTCTTTCCTCCCCGTCTCCTGCCCTCCCCTGCCGCCTTTGGACTGTTATGCACTTGCTGATTACATTCGCCCTATTGTCTTTTCATCAGCTCTTCCAGGTTGATCCTCCCTCGTCCTTACCCTCTGCAGTGTTCATTGCCTTACATTCTATTTCTGCTCTCTCCTTCCGCTCCTCTCCCCAGTAACCCTCCTATTTTCACAGTCGTGGTCTTAAGCAGTATTTGTCTTTTTGTAATTGAGCTCTTTCATTCAGCATAATGTCCTCTAGACTTGTCTATATTACATAGTATTTTACACAGTTTTGTTCTTTAGTGCTGTGTCATATTTCTTTGGGTGAAATATATCACAGTTTATCTATTTGTTAACAGACATTTGGACTGTTCGCATTTTCTTGCTATTCTGAAAAATTCTGTGATGTACATGTTGTTATTGTTTGGTGCCGTCAAATTCAGTATGACTCATAGCGACCGTATGAACACCAAACCTGAACCCTGTCCTGTCCTGTGCCGTCCTCCTCATCCTCAACACACTTGAGCTTGTTGCCACAGTCACTGTATCAAACCATCTTGTTCAGAATCTTCCTTTCTTTCACTGACGTCCACCTTTCCAAACATGGTGTCCCTTTCCAAGGAATACCGTCTCTAGCAGTGTGCCTAAAATATGTGAGGCAAAGCCTTACTGACCTTTCCTCTAAAGACACTCGGGTTCCGCTTTTCCTAACAATGTCTCTTTGTTCTTTTGGCAGTCCATGAGCTACTCAGTACTCTTCTTTAACACCACACCTCAAAGGTACTGATTCTTCTTCTGCCATCTTTATTCATTGTCCAGCTTTCAGATGAGTTAAAAGACTGTGACTTGAACCAGGCACATGTTAGTCTATAAACTGACATGATTGCTTTTGAGGACTTTGTAGAGGTCCCTGACACCAGACACTTGTCTCTTGATATCCTGTCTGCTGGTGCTGAGGTGTTGAGCGTAGACCCAAATAAGATGAAATAATTGACAATTTCAATTCTTTCTCCATCTATCACCATGTTGCATATTGGTGTAATGGTGAGAATGAATTTCTTCTTGATGTTAAGAGGTAATTCTTATTGAAGGCAGTAGTCTGTGATCTTCTACAGCTTCTTCACTTTCTGCAAGCGAGGTTTTGTCATCTACATAACACAGATTGTTCATGAATATTCCTCCCGTCCTATGTCTCATTCTTCTTTAACTTGGCTGTCCTAGTGACATCGCTCTTCCCTATTTTCCACCCCTTTGCCCCCTTTCTCTTCCCCTTTTGGTCTTTTATACACATCTTACTAGTTACCCTATTTTTAGAATATGCAATATTTTTATATTATGCAATATTTGTCCTTATAAGACTAAGCTAGTTCACTCAGCACAATGCTCTCTAGACTCTCTGGTGTGTTTTATATATATATATATATATAATATTTTTATAAAATCATTGCTCCTTGTTGCTGCATAGAATTTCATTGTGTGAATATACCACAATGTGTCCATCTGTTTGTTGATGGGCTTTTGCACTGTTACCATTTTCTTCCTATTGTGAATTCTGTTGCTGTGTACAGAGGTGTACAAATCTCCATTTGTGTGTCTGTTCCATTTTCCTTGGATTATATTCCTGGCAGTGGAATAGCTGGGTCCTATGGGATCACCATGTTCACTTTGCCAAATTGCCTTCCAGAGAGGTTTCATCATTTTACAGTCCAACCAGTAGTGCATGAGAGTTCCAATCTCTCCATATCCTCTCCAACATTTATTACTCCCTGTCCTGTGAAACTTAGTCACTGCCACTGGAGTGAGATGATTTGTCATTGTTGTTTTGATTTGCATCTCTCTGATTGTTAGTTATTTTCAGTATTTCTTTATGTGTCTGTTGTCCATCCATATATGTTCCTTTGTCAATCGTCTTTCCATCTGGTTTGCTTATTTTGTGATTGGGTTATCAGTCTTTTTGATGTGGAGGTCCTGAAATAGTCTGTAACTGTTCATTATAAGACCCAAGGCCCTTGTCTGAGATGGTATTGCCAAATGAAATTCCGTAGTCTGTAGGTTTTCTTTTCACCCAATTATAAAAAGTTTTTGATGCACATAGGAGCTCAATTTCTAGAATGCCCCATTCCTCAATTTTGTCCTCTTGGTTATGCATTTCTTGCTATATTTGCAAGTTTGTTTATACCATTGACTAGTACTTATAAGTTTGACTCCATGTTTTCTCTTTATGATCTTTATGGTTTGGGGGCTCTACCCCTAGGCCTCTGATCCACCTTGAGTTGCTTTTTATGTAGCGTGTAAGATGTGGCTCCACCTTCAGCTTTCTGCAGGTGTCCAGTTTTGCCAGCACCATTTCTTGAAGACAGAATTCCATTTCCCCACTTGATAGACTTTGTGTTATTGTCAGATACTCATTGCCCATAGGTAGATGGGTTAATTTCCAGGTTCTCAACTTTGTTCCACTGGTCTTTGTGTCTCTCTTATTTTGGTTTGCATGTCTTGGCTCATGATTGGGAACGGTGCTTCTTGCGTTTGTTAGCTATTCGAATGTTCTCCTTTGTGAAGAATCCTGTCATGTCTTTTGGCCATTTGTAATTGGGTTATCAGTTTTTTCCTTATAGAAGCATTGTATTCAGTAAACTTTAGTTATGAGTCCCTTATCGGAAATGTCATTGCCAAATATTTTTTCTCAGTCTGTGGGTATTCTTTTTACTCTTGTGAAAGTTGTTTGATGCGCACAGGGATTCAATTTTTAGAAGGTTCCGTTTGTCAATTTTAGTCTCTCGTGGTCATGCATTTTCAGCTGTTTGCAAGCCTGTAGACTCAGCCCTTCTAAATTTTTCCCTATTTTGTCTCCAGTGATCTTTATAGTTTTTGCTTTTACCCCTAGTTCTCTGATCAGTTGAGTTGGTTTTTGTGTATGGATTGTGATGTGAATCCAGTTTAAGATTTTTACAGGTAGTAGGGAGGGTGGCCTAGTGGCAAGAAGCTGCAGTGCAATTCCAGATTTCTGCAGGTAGATGTCCAGTTTTGCCAGCACCATTTGTTAAAGAGGTTGCCACTCTCCTATGTAATGGCTTTCATTTCCTTGTTGAGTATGAATTGACTGCAAGTTGATTTCTGGGTTCTTGATTGCTTTCCATTGATTTATGTACCTGTCATTGTACCAGTACCAAGCTTTTTTGATTACTATGGCCATGTAGAAGATTGTGAGATCAGAGAATGGGATGACTCCTCGGCTAGAAATCTTAATAGGAGGAGAGCATCTGTCTTTCTCCTTTGCAGTTGCTGTTGGATATAAACAGTCAGAGTCTTTTGATTAGCTGTGGACTCTTCCAGTAAAGTTACTTACTTTTCACCTGTTTCAACTTCAAATTGATTGCCAGTGATTTAGAACCAAGTCATAGCTGATTTTCCGATGGGTTTTCAAGCTATAAATCTCTTGGGAGGAGATTGCCCATCTTTTTTTCCAGGAAGCAGCTGGTAGATTCAGACTTTTGAGTTGGCCGTATAATTCCCTACCCGCTAGTCAACCTGTTTACAACTTAGAAATTGTTTGGAAAGGGAAGTTTGGGTAAAACCCAGCATATTTGTGAAAAGTGTTACCATTTCCCCATCCAAATTAGCCATTTTAATTTATTTTTATGTTTTTTCTTTATGTTTGGTCTTTTTTTCTGCCCTGTTTTGTGACTTTTGTCAGCTATTTTTCTTGTCTGTGCGGTCGTATTTTATATTATTTTCTATCCTAGGGTTTTTAGGACTATTTGGGAATCATTTGCAAGAAAGAAGTACTATCTGCATTTCAGTCTGATTCATCAATGTCTGAAAAATCAAGATTTCTAACTTTTAAAAGACAGATAGATACCTATGAACCTTGGTCAGGCTAGATTCGAGCAATTTAAGGAAGGATTTCATTTTTATTTCCCTCGTGTGTGGCCTTTCAAGTGATATTAAACTTGATCCCTAGTTTTGAAGTGGGGGGTTCACTTTTTATTAAACTTTTTTTTAAATTTTTTATTTTATTATATTTTGTGTGAGTGTACCGTCAAATCAGATCTGACTGGTACAGGAGGAGATTGTCCCTCCTTCCCCGGCAGAGCATCTGGTGGATTTGAACCGTGCACCTCTGGGATTGTAGTTGCAGCTCCTTGCCACTAGGCCACCAGAGCTCCCCAACTTTTTATTAAACTTTTACAGCGGGCAGCTGCCGAGGATATAAACCCAGCCGATGACCCGAATAATCAGGGAGAGGATGAATTTGAAGAAGCCGAGCAAGTGCGAGAAGAAACTCTCCCAGATGAGAACAAGGAGCAGAAACAGAATCCTCAAAAGCACGAGAAGGCAGAAATGGAGGAGCATTTGGTGGTAAGCAGGTGCCTCAGCGCAGGGGGAGTGCAGCTTGCGGGCTTTAAGAAACTCTTGCCTTTTGTGAAAGGTTAGTCCCTGTGTACACTAACCGAAAGCTTAGCCACTCTGGCTTATGGGATTGTAGGAAATACTCCTGTCCCGTGAGAGAGGCAGCAATAGATCACCTGGGCTTTGTGCTGGAAAGGGTTGTTCCTCATTTCCTGGCCACTGATGCATTCAGAGTGCACTTCTCATGGGCGCATGCCCCTTCTTCTTGTCAGAGCACATAAAACCCATCTCGAGCACACGGTAACATAAGCCTCTCCTTTTGTTTCCACAGATGGCAGGAAATCCCGACCAGCAGGAAGACAATGTCGATGAGCAGTACCAGGAAGAGGGAGAAGAGGAGGTAGTGACATTTAATGCAGGATTCTGATAAGATCACTTGGCCGCTCACGCGAGGCTCTTGCATGAAGCAAAGGAGCATTGTTTTTGACGCATTTTGTCCAGAAATGTTTAGAAAGAGCCAAGCAAGGTTAAAAAAAGACAGGTGGTTGGAAGAGGAAAAAGGTCACAGAGGTAGAGACATCCAGTTAGAACAGAATAGAAATCGGGGAAAGGAATCCACATTTCTCACAGGAAAATGGAGTTAAGAATACTTCTGACTTTCCAGGAATTGTGGATGTAGATTTATAGTCTTTTGTAAGAATGTTTTCTCTTATCGCTTTCTCATAAAAGAGAAAAGAACAAAGCACTTTATGTTGGGGAGTCTGGCCTCACGCCTGCACTCTCTCTGAAGGAATCTGCACCGTACCCGCATCACAGCGTATTCTGCAGTATTCATTGGAATAAACTTGACTCTCTTGGAACATTTGACAGTGTTCTATTACTCCTTTCGCCATCTTCACTCAGAAGATTTTACTATCTTAATTGAAATTCAGTAATAAAAGGGAAAATATACGAGGCACTCGGTTGAATAAAATGAATTTGAGTAAGATTTTTTTATTTTGTCTTTTTAACTTGCTTTGTATTGTGAACTTCAAGAATATTACTTTTCATATAGCTTCTCTGTTAGTGTCGCATTCATTCAGTGCGTTGATGAGAGCTGCTTGTAGCAGATTAGTTGAAGCGTCCCACTATGAGAGCGACTGAAGCTCAAAAAAAAAAGACTAGAAAAAGAAAACCCAAAATTCCTGCTATTGAATTGATCCCAACTCAGTACAACTCTCCATAGAGGTTCCCAGAGTTTAAGTCTTTGAGAGGAGACTTTCTTTCTCCCATAGAGAGGTTGATGGATTCAAACCACTGACCTTTTGGTTAATAGTCCAATGTGTACTATACAACCAGGGCTCCTTCTGCTGAAGCCCACCTAGTACCTGGGAAGAGGAGGTGGTTGCTATCTCTTTGGGCCCAGTTGATATTTCTGAAATTTCAACACAGTTGAAGTGTTATAATTTAAAGCTTGGATCTTTCGCTCTTACCAATACATGGCGTAGGCTGCATGAGTGAATGGCCCAGTGGCAGCCAGGACCTGAGGCAATCTGCCCAGGATGTATGTACGCCTGCTGCCCTCACACACACAGCTCGGTGGTCAGGGCTGGGTTTTGGCTCTCAGTGTGATTGCCAGCTTTTCAGAGCTAATGATAAATTTGTGTGCTTAGCCCAGGAAACCAGGAAAAGCTATAGCTCTTTATGACCACTGGCAACTTCTCAAGTGAGATGTTTTGCTCTCTAGCTCTTTCTCATCCTGGTGGTCATCTTTCTCAGGGCCCTGTTCTGGCTTCACAAAAGAGTGCTTTAGAAAAAGTAGCCGCCTTGAATATTAAGACACTGAGAAAGAAAGTGATACTCAGTCCAGGCTTCTCTTGTAAGAGGACGTCTTTACTGTTTTGTTTTTTTGTTTTTTTTTTCATTATGTCAGACGCCAGGAATCTATGAGATTAGAAAAGGTTCACCGCGACTGCTTTTTAAAAATTCAGAAGAGTAAACATGAAATTTTAATCAGTAAATGCTGATTCGTTTTCACTTCTGTATTATCATCCGTTAAGGTGGAAAGAGAAATTCTTAGAGCCAAGAGAGCCCAGGGGTGGAAAGGAAAACAGAGGAGAAATGGTGAGAAAGCAGAAAGAATTGTTCTTACAGTGAATGCCTCGGAAACAGATCTGTTCATCTCCTATGTGGACTGGTGAACTGAGAGCCAGACTCCTTTTCTATGCCAGCATCGAGCCCTAGGCTCTAATTGTTTTTAAAGTTCTCTGTTCATTTCCTGTTTGTAGGATTGGTGCCCCTGCTTTCTACTCCCCTTTTTTATGGGTTGCGAATTGCCATGTCTCTTTCTTTTGGAAGAGTTCTCTGTTGTTCTTACAGGACGATCAGTGTGCCTTGACACTGCACTGGGCATTTCCCCCTGTGTGTCCATTGCTCTGACAGTGAGTGCTATGTTTTGCTATTCAGTCTTGATCTGATTGGCTGTTGGATTTTCACACCTATTTCCAGGGTTCCCCGTTCTTTACTTGACAGGACAGGAGAGTGCTTCTCAGATACTTTACAAGCACAAGTGATGGTTACAGATGATAGAAAACAGACTTCAGCAAAATGAGAAAAATAAAGGGAGAGTTGAGAACATGCATCACGCTTGTCTACAGGTGTAAGCTTATGCAGCAACTTCTGTGGAAACACTCTTAAAACAGTACAATGCTATGTGACTTGTGAATTGTTTCTGTCTCTACTAAATCTCAAGGAGCTCTGGTGGTGTCATGCATTACACGTCTGACTGTTAATCGAAAGATCAGAGGTTCAAATCCACCAGTTGCTTCAAGGGAGAAAGATGTGCTGTGTCCCTCGTGTAGCCTCAGAAATCCAGCAGAGGGTCAAGTGTCGGTGTGAATTCATTTGACAGCCGTGGATAACGGGCATTAACTCAATCTTCCCCTTCTTGTTCCCACTACTGACCACTAAGAGGCGCTGCTGCTGCTGCCCTCAGTTCCTCTATTTTTTTCATCCAAATCAAAACTTCCCTCAGTATCTGTTCTTGGGGAGAAACTGTACCTTGCAGGATTTCATTTGTTCAGGGGTACAGCTCACAAAAATGATAGATTAGAACCCTCAGAATAAAAGACCAGAAACAAGTGACTTGTTGGAAATTTGCACTATCTTTCTCTTCTTAGTGTACCAGGGTTGCCCTTCTAAGATGTCAAAATGACAGTTATTAACAAGCATTTCTTGTTTGTTTTTAGAAATCGTGGACAGGAAATATTTATATGTTGACCCTATCTCCTTATTACTTACATTCTAGATTCATTAAGGGAAAACCCCAAACATCTAGTCACAAGAAAACAAAGATTCCCTGCTTAGTACAAGTGGTGAAGTGCTTGGCTGCTGTCCGAATTGTTAAGTTCTAATCTCCCAGAAGCACCTCAGCAGAAAGACCCGGTGAACTTCTTCCATAAAATCATACTGCTGGGAAAATCTAAAGTCAGTTCTTCTCTGACGCACCTGGTGACACCATAAGTTGGAATTGATTCAGTAACAGCTAGTTTGAAGTTTTTTGGTTTAAGAACAAACCAGACAAATTGGACCATCGCAGAAAAGTACTTGCTGTACTTCAGAATGAATTAAATGTACAAAAACCTGAGTGCCTCAGTTTACCTGATTAACTAAAAAGAGGTTGATCTGAACACTTTGGAGAGCACAAGCAAAAGGTTATATGGCCACCCTCAGAGGTCACACGCATATATAAGCCATGGGACCACCACATTGGGAAGTGATCAAGTCAGAAACTGCCCTATTAAACATTTCTCAGCCAGCGTGGAGTTCATCATCACAGTCAAGGTTGCTGTAGGCCTTTCATTTGTCACATTGCACCCATTTCTTTAGACCCTCTTTGGAATTACTCAGAGTTCAGCTTTTCTCATTCCTGTTTCATTCTGTAATAGATTTAATATGTACCTATACAGGCATGTTTGCCAGAGCCAGTTTCAAACCCAAGGTACCTGTTGTTTGTTGATTACACTTTGCCAAATCATACGTGGCTCATTTCTGAAATAACTGAAAATGTTACATTTTAGAGGAGAAAAAATGAGTGAGGAGGAGCAGGGTTGGAAAGATTTTGACAAAATGTGTCTGCTTCAGAAGAATTCTAAAGGTCAAGTATGGAAGATATAAAGGAGGAACACTCGGCTGCTGGCTTTGCATCTAAACATTTTTAAAATCGCTTAGAAAGTGGATGTGTCTCATTTAGTTAGCTTCCTATTATCATAATAGTAACCTTATGCAATATTTGTCCTTATGTGACTGAGATATTTCACTCGGCATGGTTCCTGAGACATTCTTAACCTAGCATCTCTTGTCACACAAGGGGAGGAAAAAAACCCCAAGACAAACAATTAGTCTCAAGTGTTGGTTATAGCCAAGACTCACCTTGAAGACTCAAAAACAGACAAAAAAACCAGTTCAAACTTATTGCCATCAAGTGGGAACCAACACAGAGCTGAACCTCCAAGATGTTTTCAAAGACTTAAAATCACATAGGCAGAAATTGCCCGTCTTCTGAGGAGCTGCGAGTGGATTCTGACCACCTGAGAAGCATGGACTTTCTATTAGCTCCTTACAGACATGGCACTAGAGATTGAAGAGGCGGTGAAGACTACAAATAGTCTACATGGTCTTACCTGGAGATTCCAATCGTGTCATGAATGGAGACTTGAAATTAGACTGTTTGACAAGCACCTCATCTGCTTTGAGGGACCCTAACCTTAGAGAAGCTGACATAAGGAAGTGCCCTGCAAGGGCTGTGAGCAGTCTAAACCTCTTGAAACATAAATGTAAAATGTCATGTATCGAGGCTCATTTACATATTTATTAAAATCTTCCAAAACTCTGACTCCTCCTTTTTCCACAGCACACTGTTGTGAAGGGTAAGGGGAGGAGGAGAAACAAAGGTCGTTGACTTTTATACCACTTATTTATGGACAAAGGATTTGAGATTCAGAGAGGTTAAAATGTTGAAGACTGCATAGTTACTTTGAACCATGAATAGAAGCAACCCAGGTTGGATTTTAATGGCTACCACAGTGGAGGATTTATTTGGTATCATGCAGTATACCACGCACATGACAGACATACCGAATCATTCCAGACACTTAACAGGTATATTGTTATAATCTTTGTTTTACATATAAGGAAAATAATGCTTATATTGGTTCACTGTCTTTTACAAGGTAATAATGTCTGTGGATGCCTTAGAAAAAAGACAGACAAGAAAAAAATGCCAATTGGCAAGATATGTGAACATTAAAAAAAAATAGTGTAAGTTATTGAAATGCACTGATTATGTAAGACTCGGGATTATAAAGATTTTCCAAAAGCAAACACATGATATGAACTGATGGATGGAACTCTTCTTCCTCCTCGTTCGGCACTACTAGAAGCACTTACACCATCAACTCTTACTCTAAAAATTATAATTTACAATTTAGCCTGCTTTTCTTAGGGCAACTTGGCATAATTTAAAGCAGATATAGGCAAGTTCTTCTTTATAGAAGTTACTAGATACAGAGGAATGATAGAAATTTACCATTTTGTGACCTCTAGTTAAAACAATTGATTCAAGAAATAATGGGAGACTGAGTGAGTTCACTTACCATAATGATGTCTAATTTCTCTAATGAGGGAAAAATGTACAATATACTCAACACTGGATATTGGAGATATAGAAAGCATGTAATTATACCTTTGGCCAGTACTTGATTTGAAGTATTGAAAGGGAATGTGTGCCCTGCAGATAATCTTGCTAAAAGTGGAATATGGTAATGGACTTTGAGGCTTGGTGGAGGGGGAAGATCGCATCCCACATTGCTTTGAGGAAAGAGGCACTTGAATGGATGTGTGGACCCGTGTTGGACTTCTGATTGAAGAGATTGATATTTGAAAGAAGTGCAAGCAGAAAAGGAGAAGAGGAAAAAGGAAAGGATGAGACTATTTTTAATAACTGGAGCAAGCTGTTTGGCTTCTGAGGCAGGGGAAAGTTGCCACCCAGCAGAGCCCACTTCAAGACTTGAGGTGGAAGAAATCCAACAATGCAGACAGAGGCCAAGCTTGGACGTGTTTCCTACCCAGCTACTGTGCACAGCGTGTGGACAAGCAGGAAAGTGTTGTTGACTTGAGCAGGGAGTTGTGAGGACCCCTGGCTTGTTGACTTGACCTGGCATGGTGAGGAGATCAACAGGTCTGGAATGCAAGGAAAAGTATGGGCTTCTGAGCTGTTAGCCGATGGCCATTTGAATCTTGCTGCAGAAGGCTGGGACTGAGTTGACCAAAACCCAAGCAAATGAAGAGTAGATAATCCCTACTTTGAACTAGGGTGGTGGTGGTGGTTGATTGCCTTTGAGTTGAGCACAGCTCATAATGACACTATAAACAAAAGACCTGAAGTCCCTCCACAACTATCGACATTTATCGAAGTTCATAGAGTTTCTGGAGTAATGTTATTTAGGAAGTGGATGCCACTCCTGCTTCCCAAGTGAACTAGGGTAGATACTTGCAGCCTGAGGCTTGCTCTGGACAGGACTTTGCTTGTAGATGCAGATGTTCAAAGTTTCCAGGTCGAACAGAGGGTCCCTCAGCAAAAGGGACCCGCTTGTTCCCCCAGACTACTGTTTTGGCAAAGATGGGCAATTCTTAACTTGGCTATCTAAAAGCGGAAGTTAGGGCATGAGGCAGGAAGTAGTTGGCTTACTTTCATGAAAGTAGTTATTACTAAAATGAAGGTAAGGGGTGGAGGAAAGGCCACAATAAAAATGAATGAAATAGAAAGTAAATGGAAGACTATATAAAAATAAGGTGCATGTGTTAAACCCATTTGAGTGCTAGAAATATTTAAAAATATAATCAATAGAAATAATAGGAGAAACCACTAAATTAAAAGAGGTTGGGGATCAAGCTCTCACTATCAGTACCTGTGAGACAAGCTGCCTTAGTAAAAGTGAGGAAAATAGGAAACACACATTCCTACCTCAGAATACCTCTTCTTTGAAAATCAAACCTGAGTACTCTAACACCTTTAAGCTAACTTTCATTTAAAGGAAATGTGGGGGTGATGTGAATGTGTGACGTTACACTAAAGAAGTGAATATACATACAAGATGTGGATTGTTTTAAAAGACAAAGTTATAACGTTGAGGCTAAAGCAGGGGTGTGGATTGGGTTACAATTAGAGCAACTAACTCTAACAGACATTTCTAAGACACGGAAATGTTCTAGTTATTAGATGATACCCAGAAGTTACTAATATTATCAGGTGTAGAAACGACTTGATAAAGCAAATGCCCGTGTTTTTACGTGTAGTGGTGAAATTCCATAAGGTCTAGAATGTTGTAAACTTATTTTAAACAATGATAGATGATGCAGGTGTGGCAGCATCAAGAGAGTTCCTGAACCTTTTCTGGAGTTCACGAAATGATTTTCATTTTGCTTGCTTGATGTTTTTGTCATAATAAAAACAAAGGAACTTCATCCAACTCGAAAAATTGTGGGGCCAAGGTTTTAGCTCAAATCTATTGAACTTCATTAAATTACTGAACTTTTACTGGAACAGAGCCATGCCCTTTTGCTTAGGAGTTTAGTTGCCACAAAGACCTTATTACATCTTTACAGGAAACATTTGCCAACCTTTGATGTGTGTGTGCTTTTTACGAAATTACACAGTTTCAAATCAGTTCTTCTCCTTACCCACAAATCTAATAACCTTTGGTGTTCACAAATGATTTCTTTTCATTAAGACTATATAGATGGCATGATTATGTTAATAAAAGTCAACAGGGATATCAGCAATTTAATATTTCAACTCATTTTTCCTTAAAATAGTGTAAATTAAGTGCTTCATTGTTTTCATTCCAATGGCCTATGAAATGCTACTATGAGGTTCCATGACTCAAGGTCGACGAGATGTCATGGACCGTACCCAGCTCACAAACTCATGGCCTTTGAATTGATTCCAACTCAGAAACCCTGTTGGATCACTAGACCTGTTTGTAAGACTGCAAGTCTTTACAGACGTGAACTACCATATTATTCTCCTTTGGAGTGGCTGATGAGTTCAGATCAGTGACCTTTTAGGTAGCAGCAAGTACTTGATCACTGTGCCATCAGATATCTTTGCTAGACTCATAAAGTGACAGAAAGACGTCTTCTCTTTAGTTCATTCTACCAGGAAAATGTGAATACAAAAATGGTCAGCGCCTCCTCCTCCAGAATGTATTTGGTGTGAGTGTAGGACCTGGTTGGTGGAGTTCTTTCTGCAAAAATTGGGTTCTAAAGCACCTCTAAAGAGACACCTTTGTATCCTCTTAACTGGTGAAGCTCCAGCCAGATCTGATCTGAGAGACAATTCTTTCTTTCTCATGTGGTCTGGACACCTTGATCTGACCCATCTATTTATTACTCTGGCTATAGCACCTGCATACTTTTATAATTTTGTTTGTTTCCCCAAATTCCTATTATGTCACAATCCTAGCAGTGCTCAGTCTCTATTTTGGTATAAGAACACTACCTTATGCTTATGCTTATATTCAGCAGTTGGTAAAAAAGATATTCAAATGACTTAAACTTTCTGACATCATATGTTTTCAAAATAGTCACTAAGTTAGAAAACATTTTACTAAGCAGTCTTGTGAAATGTAGTCATATTCATGAGAGGTTCATAATTATGTTCATAATCATACTAATAATGATATTTATTTAGCAAAAGTATCCTTGCTTCTTATTCTTACTGATTTGAACTTTAGAATAAAAATTAATACATATTTCTGATTCTGCAATTGACTACTTATGTCATATAATTTCTCTGACTCCATCTATTTAAAATATGACTTCTAAACTTTATGCTGTTGCTTACATTGTGGAATGTTAAGAATTCTCAAATTGTTAATTCTTAGTAGAATATATCCCCCAGATCGAATCTGAAGACTAAAAATGAGTCACTCATTATATTGCATCTTATATAGCATCTTCAGACAATGGGATTTGGATCCCACAGCTAACTAACTCCAATGTTCATGTTGGAATAAATACTCATTTTAAAATTAGAAAGGGGTTGTTGGATGTCTGCTATTTTTGTTCCAGTGACTTCAATACCTGGGAAAGTGTTTGATACAAAAAAAAAGAGGCAACAACAAACCAACCCCCCAAAACCCTAAACAAACCCAAAACACCAGCCCAATGTGAAACTCCCATTTTATATCTTAAGTAAGTGATATCTCTGTTGACATCTGAATATTTGCCATAATATCCTTCAGAAATTTATTCTTTCCTGACTTAGATAGTAACTGAAAACGTTTGCTTCTTACTTAGTATGGGAAGAAATATTTTAAAATTCAAATTGATTTGCATTTTGAGGTAGATAATAGGAACCCATGAAACTGAAATAATAGAGTCCATAAAACTCCTTAAAACATAAATGTGTCAGAACTCTTAGGAGAGGTCAGGATATGAGGCTGTGTAATAAGACTGTTTATGAGGAAATTGAGAGATAACCACTATCTTCTGGATATTTTAGCCAGAGAAGTTCATTCTTAATTATGAAAGAAATGCATTTACTGCTTTACTCGCTTTTACTGCTTTACTCCTTGTTTATAGGCAGTGGTGCAGTTTTGAACGTTGACGTTCATTCACTGATTCAGATATTGCTCATTATTTATAAGTAAGCCATTGTTAAATGTGTCATGTACACATCCAGGTCTTGAGGACAGCTAGTTAAATAAAGTAGAGGCTGCTTGCCTTCCTCAAAATTAAAATCTAAGAGAACTGTCAAAGGACGACGCTTATTTCCATTCAGAAAGGGAGATTCTTGGCTTTATAAATGGAATTTCTCTAGGTGTTATACTTGAGGGTGTTAGTCCTTACCCAGAGACATCAGACATGCAGACACAGAACCCTACATTCTGAATCGGTCACCTTGACTTTTAGAGTGGATATATAATACATTTCCTAAAGAACACAAGTCACACCTTTGACTTTTCTCTTTTTTCAGTTTTTAAATTACATTTATTATCAGTTAACACTGAACTTTCTGGAAGTCAGAATTTGTTGTAATTATTTAAGTAGATCGTGAGATGGATGGGTTCAGTGACTGGGGTACGTGTGTCGGAGACAATAAGGTTGGCAAAGAGGTTCAGGGCTATTGTACTTAGAATTGCAAGCGGCTCAGTGGCACATAACAGCAACAACACTACAAAGTCTTATGTGGTATCTCTGTTTTGTTTTAGATTCAAGAAGATTTGACTGATGAGAAAAAAAGGGAATTGGAGCCTAATGCTGAAGAGACGTATGGTGAAAACAATGAAAATGTATGTTTAGAAGCCATGTGTGTATATGTGATATTGCAAGTTTCAAAGAAGGTGTAGCTGATAAGTGTATTTTTTATGTTTTTATGATCTGGTAGAAGAGTGCTTGCCTATTTGCTTGGCTAAATCCCCTGCTGAGTATTTGCATTTCTAGCCTAAATATACCATGGACTGCTAAGAAAACGAACAGGTTCATCCTAGAGAGGGTTAAACCAGGCTGCTCCTTGGAAGCAAAGATTCTGAAGCTCCATCTGACATACTTTGGACATGTTGCAAGGAGGGACCAGTCCTTGGAGAGAGACATCATGCTTGGGAGGGTGGAGGGACAGTGCAGGAGAGGAGGACCTCGATGAGATGGACTGATTAGGGTAGGTGTGTTGGAGGCAGTGAGATTGTCACAGGACAGAGCAGGGATTAGAGCTGTTGTACAGAGGGTCGCTATGAGTCACAGATGACTCGACGGTCACAGATGACTTGACGGTGCCTAACAGCAACAGCATCCTAAATATACTGAATGGGAATCTACATTTTTTTTCAAGACCCCTGTAGGAATCTCTGGTGACTTAGTGATAAGGAGTTGTGTTGCCAACCCAGAGGTATGTGGTTTGAATCCACCAGCTACTCTGCTGGAGAAAAATGAGCAGTCTCCTCCCTTGTGATTTGCAGACTCTGAAAATTCACTGAAGAGTGAGCTCTAAGTCCGTTCTGACAGAGCTGAACTGCCCCGCATGATTTCCAGGGCTGTACCCTTTAATCAGAGAGCTGGACGATGACTAGGGATGATAGAGAATTGATCAGCCTTTGAGCTGTGGTGCTGGAGAAGAGTGTTGAATATCCCATGGTCTGCTAGCAGAACAAACAGGTTTTTCCTGGAGAGGGTGAAGCCAGAACGTTCCCTGAAGTCAAGGATTCTGAAGCTTGGTCTGACATACTTTGGGTGTGTTGCAAGGAGGGACTGGTCCTTGGAGAGGGACATCATGTTTGGGAGAGTGGAGGGATGGTGTAGGAGAGGAAGAACCTCGATAAGATGGATCGATTCTGTGAGTGGAGTGGTGGGAATGAATGTGTTTGAGACGGTGAGTTTAGCACAGTATAGAACGGCGTTTAGGGCTCTTGTACATGGGGTCGCTATGAGTTGCAAATGACTCGATGGCACATAACAATAACAACCACCCCTTTATAGGGGCAGATCACCAGGTCTTTCTTTCCAGGGAGCAGCTGGGTGGCTTCCAAACACCAGCTTTTCAGTTAGTAATCAAGCACTTAACCTTTGTATCACCAGCACCAACCTTTACCTCCGAGATGTCACTAGTTGAACGGGCCAGCTGAGCCTTAAGGGAGTTGTAACAACGTGAGGCTTGGAAAAGATAAACGCTGTTGTCTAAAGGATCATTTTTCATCACTTGTTTCCTTTCAGTAAAAAAAACCAAAACACCATTTTGAACAGATTTTGGAGGAAATTGTATCAGTAAATTCAAGCTCTCTCACCTGTTTGTGTGGCATTTTTTTTTTCCTTTTAAGGGTGATGATAAAAATAATGACGGAGAAGAACAAGAGGTTCGAGAGGACACCCGGCCCAAAGGCCAGGAGGAGCACTATGAGGAGGAGGAAGAGGAGGAGGAAGAAGATGGGGCTGCTGTTGCCGAGAAGTCGCATCGGAGGGCCGAGATGTAGCGGTGCCCGGTCTCAGACGTGCTCCCCCAAGGGGTGCGTCTCAAGTTGCTCGAGTGGGGTCTGCCTCCTGAACTTGTGGCTATTTAATTACAGAAATTAAGGACGTAGACTTTTTTTAAAAAAAAAAAAACCCTTTTGTATTAGAAATACTCACACATTTATATGAATCTATTTTGATATAACCTAGGTTAGAGCTTCTTTTATATTCAAGCTAAACAAGAAGAAATCTCATTTTTCATATATTATGAGATGCTGGGGGGAAAAGCATAGATTTTTCTATCTCTTCCAACTTGTTACCTTTTTTTATCTTGTAGTTTCCAGGTGTTTTGTTTGAGTTCGGTGATGTGCAGGATGTAAAACTGGTGACACTTCAAGATGCTGTGCACACTTGGAGGAGAGTGGTCACTGCTCCTTCCAGGTTCTGAGGAACTCTGGTGGTGCCGTGGTGAAAGCATTCCACTGGCAACCAACACGTTGCCTGTTGAATCCACAAGTCCATACTTGAGATGAAGAAGGGACAATCTGCTTGTTAAAAATGTACAGTCTTGGAACCCTGCGAGGCAGCTCTCTCTGTCCTGCAGGATTGCAGTGGGTCAGAACCCACCAGAGAGCAGGTGATTTGGTTTCGGGTTTCTGGCAAGTCTCAGGGACAAGATCCGTACACGGAGTAGTGGACAGTTGGGAAGGTGTTTTTGTTGTTGTTTTTCTTTTTCTTTTTCCCCAAGAGTAACAGAATTGTTTTTCAGATTTCTTTCAAGTCCGTTACAAAAATATTTGACATGGCTTAAAATTATAGCTGTTCTGCTTGAGAGAAACTGAATTTAAACAGGAGATTGAACTAAAACTCATTTGACAGTATCCTGGACTTAATGAAATATTTCAATGTTCAAACAAGGTATAAAACATCAGATTATTAACCTTTTTGAAAGACTGACAGTGTTGTTTAAAAACAAACTTGGCATGCATGGATGCTGTTTTCTACATGAGAAATCCTTGCCTGTATTTTTTTTTCTGAAGTCACCCAGTGATCTTATCTCAGTATCTAGTTCTCTACAGCAATTTGTACCTCTTTACAATCTGTCTCCACACATAATCAGTTTGATGATGAGTATGAATGAATATGAAGGCATATGAAAGAATAGGATTATTTTACAAAGCCTTACCAGACCCACTCTGAAATACACTTTAAACTTATGCCTTCTCTTTTTTGTTGGCATTGAGTCTGCTTTTTGCCTGTGTGTAATATATTTTAATGATTATGAATTACAACTGCAATAAAAAATTAAAAACCAAAATTTCCCACTTGAATAAAGACATTTCAATCATAAGCATTAAGATTTTAAGTATATAAAATCTAGGTAATATAATTCCTATGAATGTGGTTTTCCAATAGCACAAACTAATGAAACCAAATTTCTTTTTGTCCCATAACTTTATGAATGTAATTTTATGTTTTAATAACTACATTTATGTATTGTTTTGATTATCACGGTTGAGTGATTATGTATGTCTGCATAGGAATGTTTTCTTCAAATGTATTTTTGACTTTCAATAATCATAAATCAAATCTTACGTTTATGTATAAAAAGCCCTTTATGTAATGTAAAATGTATAATATTGTACATAATATCCAGAATACAATTATTTTGCTAAATTAGTTTGTATTTTTAATGTCCCAGTTGCAGTATTTAATTATTTGAAATATATTAAAACTTGGTAATAGTCAATAAAGTCCTAAGAAGCAAGTAATAAATCTTTCTTAAGTATGTGACTTATTAATATCTTAAGCCATTCTTTTGTTCTTTTTTATTAAAAAGGATACTTTTTAAAGGTACAACTAATATGTATCAATAAATTATAAAAGAACTTTCTCAACCTGCTCTTAACTTTCCTTATCGCCCTCCTCAAGGGGCCAGTTTTCAGAAATGGACATGCTGGTTGGAAAAATGGAGGACCAGCCAAGGAGAGAAAGGGCAGTGATCTCCTCAGGGAGATGATTGATGTAGTCACTACAGAGACGGGCTGAAATACAGCAGGGATTAGAACGGTACAGGTGTGGGCAGCCTCTCATCCTGACCCACCCAAGTTTCCTTTACGTTGACACCAACCTGACGGCACCTAATTTTCCACTTCTAACGAAAGCAAAGAATTTTTTTTTCATATTAGAAAGATTTCATTTTGTTAGGATTCCCCCCCCCCCATTTTCATACAGTGTCATCTCAGTACACTGAAATATGCCTCTGGAAATTAGTCAACATGACATACTTGCTTTCCACAGTATCTGCTAAGCAAAATTTTACAAAAAATTATGAAAAGACTACACAATTGTTAACTTTGAGTACCATTCCATAGTCAAGAACTTTTTACAAATAGCCAGGAATTAAAAACGACAAAAATAGAGAACACAAATACAGTTCATTGCCTTCCAAAACCAAAGCCACTGTTGAGCTAGAAAGCTAAGAATTTTGTTTCAGTTGTTTTGTTCTAGGGTGTTGCAGACCGAGGGGAAAGTAGTTTATAATTATTAATAATTAGTCAGACAACCCAGAATGAGATAGAATAGAGAGTGTAAAAGACAGGGGGCCAGCAGTTCTCAACTGAAGGGCTGAATTCCAGCTTCCCTGCATCTTTATTGAAAATTATCAGGAAGTAAATCACAAAGAGAATTCAATGCAAATGAAGCCAATTTCTTTCTATTGAAAACCACCTTCTTGACTTAGGAGGGAGGGGTCAGCAGAAATGCAAGAATGCAGTAAACCCTTAAAGAATTCCTTAGTGCCTCAGAAGATCTCCAATTTAGACTGGACCTTCCCCACATCCTGAAATAGCATTCCTTTTATTAAAAATATTTAGTATTGGCTTCCCATAGTAGGGTGAAGATACTGGTACAGACAATGTGTTCTGTCTACATTCGCTATGAGTTATAGTCAAGTCATCTCCAACCCCTGGTGCACTGAGTATAGGCTAGAACTGCTCCAGAAGGTTTCTGTGACTATAATCTGAAGACAAGCAAATTGTCAGATTTTCAACATTCTGTTGAGTAGGATCACAGTAAAAGAACATTAACCCATAGCATTGTTCAGCTGCTTTCAGTAAGCTCATGAAAGTTGGACAGTAAGGAAACTCAACTATTGATGCCTTTGAATTGTGTAGACAAAGAGTAATTGAAGATACCCTGCACTGTGAAACGAGTGAACACATCTGCCTTGTAAGATGTGCTGCTCGAGGGTTCCTTTGGGACGAGCAGGATGACACTTCATTGCCTGCGGGCATCTTGTTAGGAAGGGCCGATTCCTGGGAAAGGACTTCATGCACCTAACACAAAGTGTTTCCAAACACAACCATAATAACTTTGGTTTTGATTTCACGCTTTCTCCCTTTAGCTGGCTCAGAATTGGCCATTTCTCTTGGTCAGTGCCAGGCTCTTATTCTTTTACCTTGACTACTGAAGCAATCCAATGCCTCATAGCCTCACCTCCTCTCTACTGCTGGTCTATAAAATCTGTGTCAGTGTCATCTTTCTGAAGATAGTTATAACTATTGAATTACAAAATTATTAACAAATCACTTTGCCTGTAGGAAAGTTTCTAAACTCCTTCACGTGACCCACATGATTCTTCATGATCTGACCTCATGTTCCCCTGTTAGCTGTAAACCTTAAACTCTGAATCATAAAATGCCTTGACTAATGCTTTTACAGTACTTTCCTAATTCTTGGCAACTAATTCTGACCTCTGCCCTCAGGAGAGAGAAACTGAGATTAGCTGACCCAATATTGCTACCTCATCTCCTTGGGCAAAGTGATGGATACATCAACTTGATTCTTTCTTTGAGGGGTTTTGTTGTTTGGGGTTTTTTTAGGGGTATTTTTCTTAGGTAGAAAGATTGCCCTTCAAGGACACTTTGCACATCTTGTAACTTATCTTTGTAGCCATGTCTGCTTAGCAAACAACCTTGGAAGCTATAGAGTGTTTTCCTGTGGGTCAGAGGGCATATTTGCTTCATGACAAGGAAAATAAAACTGGCAGGTATTCTGGCAGGGGGAAAGCAAGGGGACCTGATATGAACAGGAAGCTCATGTCTGCTTGTCTTGCTCTGAGAACTGAAGTTCTTTGTCTATGACCCAGGGGTCTACTGACTTGTGCCAACATTCATGAAATTCTGACCAACTTAAAAGTAAAAAAACCCACCCTGTGTGCTTTTTGACATTTTCTTTTCACTGTAGAGGTTAAGACAAATAGCATATCTCTTTACAGTGGTGAACTTTACTTAATGAGTTCAGATCTCCATTGTTGGTAACCATTCTTTGATTGTGTAGAAAGAAGCCTGCAGAAATAGAGAATAACCAAACTTAGAAAGAAGCAAAAAGCAGAGGCAACGGTGAAGAGACTCATGACATTTCTCTCATCCCCCATCTCTTGCTACCCCTAGTGCCAGTCAGGTCTACCATAGGTTGGCGAGTGAGGAAATAGATTTACTTTAACTGCAGTCTTGTTGCTACGTTTCTCCTCACAAATTTAAGCCTCCTGAATGATCTGTTCGCCACACAGATTGAGAAGGTATGGAGACAGGATGCATCCCTGACGCACTGCTTTCCCAACTTTGAACCATTCCGTATTTCCTTGTCATTTTTTGAGGACTGATTCCTGGTCCAAGTATAGGTTTCATATGAGCGCAAACAAGTGGTCTGGGATTCCCATTCTTCTCAACGTCAGCCACAATTTGTTGTGATCCACACAGTCAAATACCTTTGCTTAATCAGTCAAGCACAGACATTCCTCTGGTGCTCTTTGCTTTCCACCAAGATCCTCCGGCATCGGCAATAATGTCTGGCTTGAACTTCTTCCTTTATCATCACAGGCTCTTGCTCATTTGTTGTTTCAGGAAATTCTTCTGTGTCAGCCAATTTCTTTTGGTAGAATGACTCTGTATACTCCTTCCATCTTCTTTTACTGCTTTCTGGATCCTTTAATATTCTGCCCAGAGCCCCCTTAGGTATT